AAAAAAAAAAAAAAAAAAAAAAGAAAGAAAAATAGGAAAAGGAGAGGAAAAGAAAAAATTAATTGATTAACTTAACTTAGATCCTAGTTGTGTCGTTGGTAGCGAAGGGTGCAAGGTGTTTTGCAAGCATTCATGGTCAGCTGGCTGATATCCGAACGAAAGTGCCGCTGCATAAATTGCCTGTACATCTCAATTCACCCCCTGGGATAGTGACCATTCTCTTACACGTCGTGCTCCTGAGTGACACTCTCTTCCACCCCCTCGACGGCCGACCTCCCTCCTGTGAACTCGCATTACCATTCCTTTGCGCCCCCTCATCTGATAGAACTCGATCCTCGCCGGACCTTTTGTGCCCTCGCTTGTTTAAATTCGCCCCCAAGAAAATTACCGAAATTGTTATGAAAATTTCCTACCGAGCCGTGGCTCAAAGCTCGTTTCATCCTTTGACGGATGAATTAGTGTATCCCGAGACTTGTGGACTTGTTTGTTGTTGTTCACATTCTTGAATAGTTGGAAAAGAAATATGTTTGGTGAACGATAAGAATACAGAGTAGATTATATATGTTTGAAAAGCGATGGTTAAAAATGTTTGTTACGAGTTAAAAATTTTTATCGAACGTGTTGTTTAAATTAACACGAAAAATTAGAGAAAATTTTAATCATCAAAGATACTAGGAAAGAAGTAATCGAGAACAATTGTCATTAATTGAAACCAATTATATTAATAAAAGAAATGAATATGAATAAAAGAAAAAAACAAAATTACCGCCGAAAATCATCCATTCGTTTCGTTCCAATCCCAACAAAGTTGAGAAAAAGCCGAATGAAATTGGTGTCGAAAGACAACTGTTATTAACTGAAATTTCAACAATGTTATTCGTACGCGCGCATGTGTACGCGATGCCCAAGAGGGGTTGCAGGATGCGAGCGTGTTCAGTGGGGGATAGAAGGAAAACTACGAGCAACGTCGTCGACCAATCCACGCGTAGTCCCTACCGCGCATGTGCATCCTCTTCGGTGGTGTCTTTGGTTTGGGTACCGCGCGCAAGGCCGCAGACCTATCACTTCTTTGGCGACAGCCGTCGGGGTAACATTCTTGTTCTCGTCCTAGTCCTCCTCCTTGCATCATCCCCTTCGCATCACGAGTTCAACAAAGTTCTCACTCGATCTTCAGTTTCCAAGTTCGTCTCTCAATACGCGTTATCTTCTTCTTTCTTCCCTTCGTTTTATACCCTTGTTTATTTTACACGTGTTATTCATTTTTTATCACTTGTTTATCCTCGATTCGATTCCTCGAGAATTCCATATCCGTTGAAGTTTTATTTACGCTTATAATAAATTTCGTCGGTTTTCTTTCTTTTCTTTCTTTTCTTTTTGCTTTTCTTTTTTTTTTTTTTTTTTTTTTTGGTTTGGGTGTCGGTTTCAGTGTCTTCGAAAATTTGAAGATTTCTTTGGATTTTTCGGAGGTAACCAAGTTTTCATTTCTCGAAATTTTTATTCTCTCGATTCACTTTAAATAAAGTATATACAAACTCATCCTTAATTTTTATTTATCATCTTTGCAATTTTCGTGGACGAAACAATTCTTTTCTTCTCGTTCAAAGAAAAATTCAAAGAAAATGCAAATTTTTTTCAAGTTCATCCGTGTTGATCGTTTATTTCGAATGTAATTTATTTCAATTTAATCAGTAATCGGTGCAGAACGCAGGGCTGTCGCGACCGGAAAACGTCTCCCGTGCCTTAAATTGCCGTCCAAATTCGACCTGGTGACAATAAGGAAACGCTTTCGTTCCACGCTTTCTTTCTCTCCCCCCTCTTTCTCTCATTCTTCTCCTCTCGTTCATTTTCCTTTCTTCTCGCGAACACGATCTTCTCGCGACTCGTAGAGACGGTCGGTCATAGCCTTAACGAAACTGTGATCTTTTTTCGATATTCGGTCGAGCACGATCTTCTCCGTTGTTCCGATCGGAAAAAAATTTCGCTTCACCTTTCGAGCTTACTTTTTTACGAATCGGCTTTATGCCCGCCGCGCGCGAACCAGTTGCCTTAATTCGAGTTTAAGGGTCATTCATTGAAACTTCACAATTCCCCCTCCCTCTAATTATCCCCTCCCCCTCTCCCCCTCCTCCTCCCCTCCCTCACGAATTTTTAACGAAATTTCGACGAAAACCTCGTCCGTCCTCTCCTGTGCCTTTCGAAACTTCTAATCGAAACCTGAAACCTATTCTCTCTCTAATAACTCCTTCACTTTCATTCGAAATTTTCGAGAAACGAAATTTTTAAAACAACGCGCTTATTCTCTTTCTCTCTCTCTCTCTCTCTCTCTCTTTCTCTCTTCTCAAACACGAATTAAGATAAATAAACACTATCGTCGCAAAGAAGAAGTGGAAGGAAAAAAAAAAAAAAAAAAAAAAAAAGAAAAAAGGAAATTACCGAGAAAATAAAGAAAAGTTTGTCGAGCCGCTTTGTGCCATTTTGTTCGAAAGTCAAATCAACGATTAGAAGAAGAGACTCTGTAATCCGGATGGAAGTCCAGATGAACGAGTGCAACATGAGTTTCGATCGGTGAGTAAGAGAACCAGTTTGTGTGTAACACGTGTCGCAGGTTTTTTTTTTTTCTTCTCATGCGCAAATTGTATCGATTATTTTTTTTATTTTTTACTCCCTCCCTTTTTCTTCTTCGTTTTATTTTCATAATGGTAAGCATGTTGTCGATGTCGATCGAAGTTGAAATTTGAAATTTTTCAATCGGTCGATTGAATTTTCACGTCTACCACCGTTAATTTCGTTTGTTTATTAAATGTGAATAATTTGTCGTATACGTGTATATTTGGTTATTGAAAATTATTAATCGAGTATCAGGTTTTATTCGTTGGGGGTTGTGCTTGATTGAAATCAATTATTTCGCAAAAGCTTAATGAAAAAAATTTTTGTTGCCAGACGTTAAAAACGTTAATCAAAAATTTATGATATATAAAATATATTTGCTCGCTCGTTATTAATAATCACATCTCTCAATTTTTTAATTACGTCTCTGTTTTTCATATATTCATATTATCTTTGGACTTGTATTAAAAAAAAAAAATTCAATTGCAGCTTTAAAAAAATTTCATTTTCTAATGTATGATATATTGTAAAAAATTACAACATTTTTTATAAATTACACAAATAGTTCAAACTTTTAATTCTTAAGTTTTATTTCGAATCAATTACCATTACACGAATATCAAGCAAACAAAGTATACATTTCTTCAAATTTCAAAAAGAAATTTACGAATTTTTCCCTTCCTTTTTCTTATAAAATAAAAGTTCTAAAACCGTAATATTTCTAATAATAAAATCGCTGCACGCTCCCGATAAATCGCGGCGAACTTTTTTTTTCATCCATATTCGATGGGACAAGTTTGTCGAACAAGCGAGCAAACGAGACTCTTTCAACCGGACAAAGCAATTGATTGCCATGAAACAATCAAGATAGGGAACTCAATTATCAGGGGGATGAATCGCAACAGACGATCTCGAAGGTCTCGAAATAAGATAGTATAATGCGAGGGTCAACTTTTCTCCCCCTCTCTGCAGTCGTCGAACGGAGAGAGGGTGGTAATGATACAGGAATACGTATATATATATATATATACACACATTTTTTAGACCACAATTAAATCGTTCTTCCGGATAAATTTAAACAGCGGGTTCAAATCGAAACCCCATACTTTTGTGACCAATTAGTGAGCCGACGAATCGCAATTATGCGACGTATTGTGTTTCACGTGGCACTCTTGGGGGTTGAAGAGTCTAACTCGATGGAATTTAAAGCTCACGGAGCGGTTATTAACCGTGTCAACTGAATAACTATCCTTCGATTACTCTTCCCCAAAATGTGGCCAATTGTCGCGTAAGGTTTAACGAGGTTTGACCCTCGATCGAATTTGCGACATGATTATTTCGAATTCTAAAATTCTAAAAATTTAATATCTCGTTACTTAAAAAAGAAAGAAAGAAATGTATCAAAATTTTTCTAAAAATTCAGAAAAAAGTAAAATTCCATAATTTATAATATCGATCAACAATTACACAATTATACAATTACAATCATTTTTCATGAATAATGCCTGCCCTGTCCTTTCACGAAAATTTGTTCCAGCTCGCGCGTCGTTCGAATTTTCCAGCGCCGCTTTTTTTTAACGGGGGTGTGTTACTGGGGCAGTAGTGCGCAGAAGCCATCCCCTGGTGCGAATTCACCAGGACCCTTTCCTCTCCCACCCACCGGATCCTCTCTTTCCTCCCCTTCCACTCGAGGGGTGGATTTCCAATCCACGCTCGGTTACCACTACGGTTATTCGAGCTGGAACCGAGGCGCGTTCAGTTTCCGATCGCCAGTGAACACGAACACGTTCCTCTCCGGAGCGGAGCGAATTCGAATCGCGCGCGCGTTCGGTCGAGTTAACGGCCTCGTCGACGCGATTGGTCGGCGGACGAGGCGAAAGAGCGGTCATTGGTCGAGTCGACGATGGACCGCTGTTGTGTGCCCGGTTCTGTGAACGTTTCTCTTTCTTTTCTCTTTCTCTCTCTTTTCTCTCTCTCGATCCGGATGGATGGATTCTCGACGACGACGACGACGACGACGACGACGTGTGCATCGTGTTGTCTACGTTTCAAGGCCAATCGATGATGGCTCGAGGGTGCTCGCGGCCGCGTGTGATGGTGCAGATGGTGCGGCTGATGTTGCATACGGGATGGATGCCCCCGTATAGGAGTTCATTTGCTCGTATTTTTTGGTTCGTTTTGGACTTGCATTTCGAGATTTAGGATTTTTAATTGTTTGTTTAAGACAGATTTTTTGAATTGATTATTCGAAAGTGGTTTTTATCTGGAGTTTCGTAAGTTGTTTTTTTTTTTTTTTATTTGATCTACGAGATCATATTTTTTAGAATGTGTATTTTGTATTTTTTAGTTCGAATTTATTTTAAGGAAATATTGGGATATGGTTTTTTTTTTTTTCAATTAAAAATATTTATATTCAACGAAACGTTTGGAATAAGTAATTTGAAGTTTAAATTTAATCAACGAATTCTTAGTTCATTGGTTATTTTGAATAAATTTTTGCACTATATCTGTTATCGAATGAGTGAAGCGAAACGTAATTTAACATGATGGATTCGAGTATTGAAAAATTAAATGAGAATTTTGAATAGAGGTTGAAGCCTTTTTGTAAAATATCTTCGATACATTGTGTGCATTTATTTATTCATGAATTTTATTTTTAATTTTCGAAATGTCACGCGCTTCTAGATTAAAAGTATAAGAATTTATTACAAAAAATTTTAATTTTTATAAACGAATATTCTGTAACGAATATTTAATTTACGATCTATCTAGCAATAATAATATATCTTCCGAGAGAGTTTTAACATGATTTTACATAGATACTACTTTGGAAAGTGACAATCGTTCATTTAGAATTTATTTCACGACTATTAATGGAAGCTTTAATCGAGCGATAAGCTTTTCCATTTGCAAACCCAGAACAGGTCATATCTCTTTTGGAAGTAAAGCGAGCGAGAGAGAGAGAGAGAGAGAGAGAGAGAGAGAGAGAGAACGCAATGTGGAAAAAGTTGAATAGTTTAACGGGATTTAACTTTCTATAATTGTACTTTTTTCCACGAGATCAACGGTGCAATTGCATTTCGAATAAAACTTTTTTACATAAATCGAATCCTTTTATCAGTCGAGGTTTCAAATTCTTCTTCCCAATTTTTTTTTTTTTTTTTTTTTTTTTTTTTTAGAATAAAACGAGAATAGTAGAATGTTCATTTTTCGCGCAAAGTAAGAGAATCATTGCGATAAAAAATTTTTTTTATTGACCATTTTTCCATAAAAAGATTGTAAAGTTTCAATGATTGTAAAAATCCTGAGATATTTAAATTTTTTTTTTTTTTTAAATTTCTATATTTTATTAAAAATATTTTATTTGTTGTTTCGAAAAAGAAAATCGCGTGAATTGAAGAGAATACATTTCAAGATGCAGAAATTCGAAAGACTGAAGTTGGTAGATAACGCGATAACAAACGTGTTGAAGTATCGTCTCTATTGTTCATTGTTTGATATATTTGCGTATATACAAAAGATACACGGTCGTAGTTCATGCGCGCTACACCTTGGGATACCTTCACGTTGGCCAGGAAACGTGAAACGTATTCAATCTTGCGGTAGAATATGGTCGAAAAGGACAGATAACGCAACTTCTAAAATTGGAAATGTCGGTCGTAAAGCGTTTATGGTTTCTCTCTTTTTTTTTTTTTTTTTTTTTTTGTTTCTCTCATATTTTTCCACTTGGCATAGCGAGATAAAATTCGAAATGAACGTTTTTTATGAACATAATTGTACGTTTCAATTGTTACGATTTAAAACGAAATCATTATGAAAGTAGTTGAAATTATATTCCATCTTTTTATGTGTTTAACTCGTGCCCTCCACATAATATTTCCACAATGTTTCAACGTGTTTTGAAAAATACCTCTAAATTGGAAAAAAAGAAAAGAAAAAAATATTCACGTACTTCGCTTCAAAATTGACCGTTTCATAAAATATTCGAAAATGAATATTTTTTTTATGAATTTATGTAATTACGTATTTAAATTACGATGCACAATCTCTACTTTTTCCCCATACTACTTTTTTTACACGTGTAAAGCGTGCTCCAGTTACCCGACTCATTTTATTTCTATATATTTTGAAGTCAGAAAAAGAATTCTGAAAAATATNCGCCTGTTAAATATAATCATCGCTCGATTCATGGACGTCACTCGCGCGTATTTATCGCTGTCACCGCGCCTAACGAAGTCCCGATCGACGATTGACTATCGAATAATACAAGCGACGGAGAGAAAACGGATGGACTCTCTCTCTCTGTCTCTCTCTCTCTCTTCTTTACAAGGAAGAAAACTCGGAAAGATCGTCGATCTCCTATGCTAAATCCGTAACCGCCGTTCCGCCGTATTAACATTGCCATTGTCGGTGCTCCCGAAACGGGAATGGAGATCGTACGTTTCTCGACGAATAATAAATTTCTCGAGGAATAACGCGTTCGAAAATTGTTCGAATATCGCGTCCCAAGGAATTTATTCGGAATATTTAGAGAATAGAAGAATTTAGAGAATTTCTTTGGCGGGGAATAATTAATAGGAATGGTATATCACGGTAGAAAATTTTTTGTTATATATAATGGTATATAAATGCACAAGTAAAAATAGTAAAAATTAAATTGTATAATTAAGTTGTATTTTATTAATTCTTTGCGCTCCTTTTTTCGTTCGTTTTTGTCGAACCAACAACTCCCCACGCGATTTCTTGTTCGGTGAATTTCTTAGTTAATTTAAAATGATTTCACAAATGATTTCAAAAATTGAATAAGTATTAAATTTTGATATTTTAATATTTTACGTATCTTTACGTATAAAGAAAGAAAAATTGTTGAATATTGAAATTTATATCGTTGTTTTGTGTGATATTTTAATAATAAAGTAATTACCAAGATGCATCCTCGGTTTGTCAGGCCAAGTATCGTGATAAAATGTCGTTTGATGCCTTTCACCTTTCTTATTTGATTGAAACCTTACAATCTCAATAACGTTCTCTCACACTGTCTATTGTTCTGATTTTTCCACTTTTCTTACTACATTTTTATTTTCATCACTATTTTCTTTCTCTCTCGTCGTCAATTTCTTAACAAATAGAAATAATTTCGTTATTTAGTAACGAAAAACTCATTTTGAACTAATTTACCCCAATAACGTGCTTTCACATTCACTGTCTGTTGTTCTTATTTTTCACTTTCTCTTATTAAATTCCTATTCTGATCATTATTTTCCTTCTCTCTCGTCGTCAATTTCTTAACGAATAGAAATAATCTGTTTATTATTCTTATTTTTCATCTTCTCTTATTACATCTCTATTTTCATCACTATTTTCCTTCTCTTTCGTTGTTAATTTCTTAACGAATAAAAATAATTTCGTTATTTAGTAACGAAAAACTCATCTTGAACTAAATTACCCCAATAACGTGTTCTCACATTCACTGTCTATTGTTTTATTTTTCATTTTCTTTTACACTATATCTCTATTTTCATCACTATTTTCCTTCTTTCTCGTTGTTAATTTCTTAACGAATAGAAATAATTTCGTTATTTAATAATGAAAAATCAAACTCATCTTCGCTCGAACTAATTTCATTACTGTATTCCTTGCATACAAAACTTGAAAATAATATTTCTAAATAACTTTAATATATACAAATAACTTTATATAATAAATAACTTTGAAAATAATATTTCTATTCCCACGATTGTCAAACTTGGATGCCGAAAATGTATTTCGATCCATGATCACGATTTAATTTGAGATCTAATCTCATTCGATATTATTCTTTATAAAATTATACGTAAAGAGTTTAGAAATCTGTTCGATATTTTATTAAAAAAAATCAAACATAAATAAATATTTTCACCAAATTTGAATTGTGAATAGCATCGATCCAACTCGAGTCACCTCTCGACTAATCGCATCAAAATAGTGTCTGAGAGTCACCATTCAAGCGCAAAGGGTTAATATATCAAATAAATTAACAAATTTAATATATATATCCAATTTATTCTTCGAATTGTTTAAGATTATTTCCAATTTGTAAACGCCTTTATAGAGATGCTTTTTCACGCGCCTTCTTTTTCCATCCTCGTTCATCTCTTTCTTGAAAATCTTGACTTGTCCCATTTGCCAAACACGCTTGATGAACCGTGTTAGAATTTCCAGGTGGGGTTTCCTCGATAGTTAGTGGCCAGAGATAGATTGGTGAGTGTAAAGGGCGCGAGATGGAGGTGAATACGTGCTGCAGCTTGGCCGGTATGGTTAATTATCTTTACACGAGGAGCCTGCGCCGGAAACGAAGACGGCCATCGTCCACTGCAGCCGACATTCCGCGATCCTGGGTATCAGAGGAGTAGCCCAATTTCCAATTAGATACCGTAGATGCTGTGTAGTATCGCTGCCGCTACGCCATTCGTGAAATCCACCAGGCATTGCCCGATCCTCGAGGTAAATTATCGGGATTCTTGATCATCCGTGACACGTCACACTGTTGCCACTCGGTGGGGAGCGTTTACGTGCTTTACGGGGCTCCTCTCCCACGTGTCGTTGCTATGGCGGTGACGAGAATTGAGGCAAGGGGAGCGAAAATGACTTTTCTTTTCTTTTTTTTTTTTTTTTTTTTCAGGGAGCAGAGACGTGACTTTCTTCTATTTTTTCTTTATATTTTTCTTTTTTTTTTTTCTCTCTCTCCATGGTGTTTGGGGATCGAAGTTTGTAACTCGAGACGATTTTATATTATAAGAAGTGGCTTCTTGTGGCTTTTGAATATATTCCTCGTCGTCATTTTTTATTTGTAATTATATTTGTCATTGCAGTAATTCTGTGGCTACAGTTAGTGCTGTTTGGCTGTTAGTATCAGTTTGAGCCAGTGTTTCAGAGATTGTAGTTATAAGTGTTTTTTTTTTTTTTTTAAATTAGTTTCTTCAGTTTGTTATTATTGGAGTGCTTTTTAATTTCTGATACGTTTGATTCGCATTAAATGTGGAAAGTTTATTAATGATTGCAGGAATTGTAAACAGTTTAGTTTTCATAGATGGGAACTTAGCCGGATAGGATTAAATTTAGAGGAAAGAGAGGACAACGAAGCTATTAAATCGTTGACGCGTAAACGACGGTGATTAAAATGCAATAAATTATTGAAATTATTGAAATAAATTTATAGACGAAAGTTATATCGAGGATTTCGTGCTTTGATCGTGCTTTATTTATAAATATTATTACTCGGGAATAATTAAATATTGATAAAATATTAAATAAATCTCGAGTTTCTTTTAACGTCGATCAAATGTGTAACATGTTGTTCACAAAAATAAACAAAATCACAAAATCTTCTAATTAAAATTTGAAAATTAACATTTCACACATAAAATATACAATGAATTTTATTAAATATAAATGTAAGGCGTAATGGTAATATTTTTTTTTTATTTTAAAAACAATCTTTGGTAATATATATTTTTATAATATTGTTTACAAAATTTACAAAAATGAACAATCTTCTAATTAAAATTTGAAAATTAACATTTCACACGTAAAATATACAATGAATTTTATTAAATATAAATGTAAGGCGTAATGGTAATATTTTTTTTTTATTTTAAAAACAATCTTTGGTAATATATATTTTTATAATATTGTTTACAAANATTTACAAAAATGAACAATCTTCTAATTAAAATTTGAAAATTAACATTTCACACGTAAAATATACAATGAATTTTATTAAATATAAATATAAGGCGTAATGGTAATATTTTTTTTTTATTTTAAAAACAATCTTTGGTAATATATATTTTTATAATATTGTTTACAAAATTTACAAAAATGAACAATCTTCTAATTAAAATTTGAAAATTAACATTTCACACGTAAAATATCGAAAATATAGAATCTTATTAAATGACAAGAGAACAATATCGTATGAAAGATATAAGAAGTAATATTTTTTTTTTTTATTTTATTTAACAATATTTCTGATAATATATTTTTTAACAATGATCTTCCTCCTTTTCAAAAAAAAAAAAACGGAATGGAAAGATCGATTATCACCGAGACGAAAGGGTTAAAACGAAGAATAAAGTTCGAAGATGCCTGAAAGTTTCTGAGAAAAATAGCGGGGGCGTCAGTTTTCCCTCGGGTGTAAGTTAATAAGTCATTGGAACAGGGGTAGTTGGTAGTTGGTCGAGGTCATTCTTTACCTCGCAACTCCTGACAGAATTTGGTGAAAATCGTGCAAGCGAAAACTGTGCCATCGGA